AGAATAATTGATTTTGTTCATATCGTTTGCTTTGTGATTCAGTCTGTTCAATTTTCACCTTTAAAATATCTAATTCTGCAGAAATTATTTAGAAATATCACAAAACATATAATACTAAAAACCCAAATCTTTTTGTAGCATATCATTGTTTCGAAACTCTCCAATGCCAGGAGTGAAGGCCTGTGCCACCTGAATACAAATCAAATGACAATGAAAGTTTTCAAGCTCATATGTGTTCATTTGTCTTTCGATAATTTTATGAAGTCCCTAAGAACAATAACAGATGACAAATGTAGATTAGAAATGCACTGTTATTCCAGCGCACAAAAACGGCTATTTTAAACAACATTGGTGAGTTTTCATTCAAAATCCATTACCTTTTTTTTTTTATATACAATTCTTAACTTTCAAGTGTCATGACATTTCTGACTGAATGTACAACTATATCTTAAAGCTTATGCATAGAGTTTGTATGGAGTTCCACACAGTAAAATGTTATCTAATTACTTTTTGCAGCACTTTAGGTTCACCAGTTGACCAAAAGCGCATCAATCTTATCAAGATCCATTTTTAGATAGGGTTTTTTTGGAGGTAGCCTATATAAAGTTTTCGTTTTACAGTAAAAGTTGCATATTGGTTTATGAGTTATCTAACTCACAAGAGTGTTTTCTAAAGAACTAGAGAATAAAAGTTTGTTGTGGAACTTTCGGCATCAGCCTGTAAAACCCTTTGGCTTCTGATCAGAACTTTTATTTTAAATAAAGGCCGTTAGAACATTTTGCGCTCGTAATTCAACCACCTGTCAGTCAGAGTTTGTGTCCGGTGCTCACCTGCAACCGCCTGAAAAGTTTCCGTGAAATTGAGGAGTTCAGAACCCTTGAGCTCGTCATGCGGGCTCTCTTGCCGGTTCATCCCCGTCCCTTCCGCGCCTAACCGTGGTCCCGGCATCTCCTGCGGGGGATAGAAACTATCTGGAGGGTCCGAGAAACTGGGCAGGGTGGTGGTGAGCGCCACCATGGAGGGCATCCCCTGCCCCAACCCCGCGCAAAAAGTGTTGGTCAGACGCCCCGCGAACGATGCCAGCGGTGCCAAGGGAGGGATACCCGACGATAATGACGAATGAGACAGGGCTTGTGGAATCATAAGCGGTCGGTACGGCATAAACATCGGGTAGCCCGTGTAGAGCAGGTGGCCCGGCCGGGGATGTGGAGTACCAATCAAAGAATCAATGGAAAATGCCGTTCCCGCACCGCTCGGTCTCTGCATGGTGAACTGAGCGCGGTCTGGTCGAATAAATCCCGTGCAGGGGCCTTCTGAGACAAATCACCCAAATGTGGTCCACGGTTATCCTGATGGTGCTGTAGGGTCCTCGCCGTCCAACGGACTGAGACCTGATGCGTTTTTTGTCTGGAGCTCTCAGTGTCTCAGCCTCTATTTGTCACATACTGAGACATAAACACACGCACACACCCCTCTTTCTCTCTCTCTCTCTTTCTCTCGGTTATCATCAGTACAAGAGGATAGAAGGGGGAGTTGCCCTGGAGACTCATCCATCTTCCTCAAATTACGCTTCATTTCCTTATTCAGTCCCTGACTTTTTAGGCCGCCGAGAGAGGGGTGGGGGGTAGTTTCCCAGTGGGTCAAGTCCCCTCCTCTGGAAAGTGAATGTGAGGGGACTGCGCTGACCACACCAACCCAATCAACTATTATTAATTTTGATTGATGATAAGTAATTACTTTGTATTCAAGGGAAGATATATAACAACGGTTCTTTTGTTGATTCTTTCAGAGGCCGATGGCATCGGAGTCGTGAGGGCGGAGAGGCAGATGTTTCGGCCCTCTTGTGAGAGAGAGTCTTTTCTATTCTGTTGGGAGAAAGAGTGAATCTGGCCGACAATTATCCCCAAGAGAGAGATTTCACTGATGAGATGACGTTTGAATGTAGATATCTGTGTGAAATCTTACTGATAAATTTGGGGGGAATTACAAAATATGGCTATAAATATCTATTATTATCTATATTATTATGGGTTTTCTAGATGATAAAAATAAGAAACAAATTAATCTAGTAAAAGAAAAACATATAAAGTTCTTAGAAATGTAGCCTAATCTTTATATAGGCCTGGTAGCTATAGGCTTTAAAAAAAAAAAAAAAAATTGTTTCTACATTTTTGTCAAAATGTCTTTTTTTTTTTTTGCACATATCATGAATTTTTAGTCATGAATCGGGTGCGAATTATGGGAGGGCCTGGCCCTCCTAATTACACTTTGAACCTCCCTAAAGTCAATAAAAACAAACGGGGGGGATTTAAATTTTGAAATTTAAAATAGCCTATATTGTGTGAAATGTATACATTTCAAAAGCGTCTTCAAATGACGTTTCAGGCACCACAAAAGTTAGGTAAATTCGCTAAACGTATGACCTGCGCTAGCGTTCGCCTGAGGGGGTAACCATAGCAACAGCAGGCAGCGCGAGCGCTTTCCGTTACGACCCGGGTGGAACTTCGACAAAACAAGTAGGCCAACTCTCATTATTTATCACTTTGTTTAACATTTAGGCTATATATTGAAAGTATATAACAAAAAATAATTTAGTTTAGATATGGTTTACGTCACGTTTGGGTGTTAGGGCGGCGAAAACACCGATCAATTCCGTGAGACGCTTTCAACAGATTAACGTTACATCAAGAAAATTAGGCTACTGACAGAAATTCTCTTAAAATGCGACCCCCTGAAAGTCACTGAATAATCCGCACACTGGTGATAAATAACTGCTTCGTTTGACCTCAACAAAATCTGCCTTTTTATTTAAAAAGTAGTATATATTTTATTTATTTTAACTTAATGACCTTGACACGCAGCCAGGAGGGTCTGTTTTTGTCAAATAATTCAGACTTTAAAGAGACGTTTTTCTTTTCTTTTCCTTTTTTTTTTTGACAATCTCTGGACAAACAACATCAAAATGACTGTAGTTCATAAATTAAAAACATGTTAATCATAGAAGATGTGCATTCAAGTCGTATGAAATCCGTTTCTATTTTAAAGATCCAGACAAAAAGAGCTTCTTCACAGATATTCAGAGGAAAGATCCATTGGTGGAAAATCACAGATCATTTGACAAGATGTTAAGTAACGTTACACGGAAAATTAAGAAGGACACGACTTTAAGAGAAAAAGTAATCATACTTTTCTTGAATAGTTGAGAATATAATTTCGATTTTAGAAGAAAAATAATAAAAGAAAAACAAAGAAAAGGGTCTAAAATTGTACCCTCTGAGCGGTTTCTCTTTCCCCGCTAAGCATTAATTTAATCGGAGATCATTTTACCGTTTAAATGCCAATTCACTTCTGATGATGATTAGGCGCTATTGAGTCCTGCGGGGCGCGAGCTCTCCAACTGGCCGTCTGATTGCGAGAGGACATAAACACATCACCTCCGACTCTGATTAGCGATGGAGGACCCACAGATGCTAATTATTCTTATAATTGCAAATGACTCCATTCAGGAGCAGTGCTCTTTGATCTATTGAAACCAGACAGCTCTCTCTCTCTCTCTCTCTCTCTCTCTAACTCACTCTCTCTCTCTCTCTCTCTCACACACACACACACACACACACACACACACACACACACACACACACACACACACACACACACACACACGCTACTGAATAGGATACAATCAGAGCCCCCCTCCTCCTGGTCATCTTATATGAGACTTTTATCAAAGATCTGTTCGTAGACAATTGCTTTGCACCTTTGTTCTTCACTACATGTACTACACAAGAAGAAAAAAAGCACAAACCTAGGATTTATTATCTTCGACACGCAATTAATAACTTTATATCCAAATAGTGCAGCATAATAGAGAGTAATTTTTTATTTCTAAAACGTACTATGATTTTACTACAGTTATTCATGAAGATGAATACAGATAAAATGGGACACCAGGTAAAAATATGCATTAAGTTGACATTTGGATTATATCTATTTATCTATCTATCTACACTCTAAAAAATGTTGGGTTAAATACAACCCCAGCAGTGCTGGGTAAAATATGGACAAACCCAACAACTGGGGTGTTTTGACCCAGCGGTTTGATTAAATGTTTAACTCAACCTTCTGGGTAACCCAACCGCTGGGTCAAAACACCCCAGTCTCTGCATTTGTCCATTATTTTACCCAGTGCTGGGTTGTATTTAACCCAGCATTTTTTAGAATCTATCTATCTATCTATCTATCTATCTATCTATCTATCTATCTATCTATCTATCTATATATTAAATAGCAGTAAATTATCAGAAAGTGCTCCACTTTACCAGCATCCACCCTGTAATAATACTACTAAGCATCTTCATTAATGGATAAATTCAACCAAAAATATTATTATTATTATTCATAATTTGTTCTGCAATCTTTTTAGTCAAATGTCCATTGCATTGTTGGTGTTTTTTAATGAGTCGAGGTGACAAGATCATTAAATACATGAGACCCTCTCAGACTTGATGATGACCTGTAACAAAAAATGGACGTGATGCATACGTGTGGAACTCAACAGTTTGAAAATAATGTAATCAGTAGTTTTCATAAAAATCCACATAATCGTTCATTATCTAAATTGTCTTCCACATCTAAAACACTATTAATTGACTCAGTCTAAACCCTTTTGTAATAGACACCATCTTGTCAAATCTTGACCTTAAAATGTTGAATATGAATGTCAAATCATTGAATTGTAATGTTTCAGCAAGATTTTCTGTCGTCCTCTGTTTATTATAAAATATGATGGAAAAACAGGATAATTGTAAATGGTAAGGAAAACCTCAGTGTAGACAAGAAAATCGATCAAAGCGAGCTCTTAAAAATTGACAATTTGATCAAATACAATAGAAAAATAGAACCTTGCCCTCCTGAAAAAAAATGCTTTTTATTTAATTTAGATCAGTGTTTCAGAAGCATTCAGAATGGTACTTTTAAATATATATCATTGAAAATCTGTCACTTATGCATGGACTCCTATCAGTGATTTGAAAACTTTCAATAGGAATTCAGATTCCACTTGAGCTCCATGGCGCCCCACTGTGGTAGTTAATGTAATAATGAATGTGTGTTGCACTGGATATTATATATATACAGACCTTCTGCATCCTCCTCCTGTTTTATTCTTCATAAACAACCTTCTATCTTCTTTCCCAATGCGTTAAAATAGATATCAGTAATAATAAAACACATTTTACATTAAAAAATATCTATCACAGATTGGCATTAAACAGTACCTCAATTTAATGATTCCCTATAAAATTGCTACCTGATTGTATCATCTTCGGTAAAGACAGGACAGTTTTCCAACACAAATCATTCAGAATCACACAGAATAAAACAAACCTCAATGGTACATCATGGTACAAAACCCAATCACTGCATGCTTATACTATATGTTGTACATTGTCAGGTTTGTGGTCTCTCTCAGTGAATATAGTCTCTGAATGCCAGCATTAGGTAATTTTTAAGAAAGGTTGGTAGACCCAGTTTAGGGACCACCTTATGCAAGCGACCTTCCAGGAACGCTCGGAGTCTGTGACGGGCCAAATGCTGTAGAGATCGAGGAGTTTGCATCAGTGCAAACAGGGATTCGTAGAATTCCCGGTGTTTCTGTGTGAAAACAATATACTTAATTTATATTATCTGCTATTGTGAGAAAATTATTTTGAGCTCTTTAGGTGCTTTTTATTTTAATAAAACTTGCTTTTTAACATTTACTTCGATATTTAATACATTATAATTGAGAAAAAAGTAAAAAGCTTGACATCATCTGACCTGAAACACCTCAGGAGGTACAGCTTCTACCCAGGCTTCAGTGATTTTGAGACGGTCATATGCGTTGAAGAGCACTTCTATTGTTCTTGGAGATGTGCAGCAATATTTCAACACCTGTGCCAGATATATTAGAGAATAAAGCTGTCATATTACAAGAAAAAACCCCAAACAAACAGGGAAATAAAACTAACAAATAAGAATCAAGTCTTTTTTTATCTCGTTGCTAGTGGTTTTGTATATATATATAAAATATTTAATAAAAACATTTTTGAATATATAAAATGTAATTTATTCATGCGATGCAACGTTGAATTTTCAGCATCATTACTTAAGTCTTCAGAGCAGCATTTATTTGAAAAAGAAATCTTTTGTAACATTATAAATGTTTCTATTGTCACTTTTAATCAATTTAATGTATCCTTATTGCTAAATAAAAAATTAATTAAAGTGAAATCAAATAGGAACTTAATCTTTTTTATCTCTGAAAACAGATTCAAATTCAGTGCTCTTCAGAAACCGGTTAGATTGTGAATCAGATCTTGCTTTGCTATTAATGACTAAAATGATCAAGAAATGCTGTCCTGTGTCTTTTGCAATAACAAACAGTGGAGGGAAGCTGGTCATAGATGAGCAGCTTTTTGTCAGTTTCCACCTGGTGCAACAGCCCCACCTGTGTTGTGGAGGTCAAAGGTGGAAAGTTGTATTTTTGGGGGAACATTGCATGGAATAAATAACTACTTGGGCTGATGAACAGATTGGGCCCCCCTCTGGGGGATTGTGGGGAATTTCTGCAATTACTGCTAATTAATCTCCTATTAACATTTGCCTCGTTAAGACTCAGGCAATTTATTTGGCACAAGTGGGACTCATTGGATGCGTGATATCAAGTGTTTTTAACTGCGCTTTTGAAAGACAGAACTAAATCTATCTAAAAGTGATTAGTTCTGTATTTGTGACAAATAAAATATCATATGCTGCTTGTGGGGGACTTTAATGATGGTTTTGAGTTAATTTATTTCTATATATTAGTTCAAGAGGATAAATATCTGTGCTAAAGAAAACTGTAATTTACAGATTGCAGATTGATGCCTTCTTGAGACGTGGGTTTGTTCCTTACAAATGGCAGACAGGTTAGTTTCCAATTCAACTTGTTCTTAAAAGGTATATTTTGCCCAAAAATTACAACCCCAATTCCAAAAAAGTTGGGACATTTTGTAAAATGCTCTCGAGAATCTGAGATTTGTTAATGCTCTTCAACATTTATTCCATTGACAAAAGTACAAATAAAAGATTTCCAATGTTTTCACTGACCAACTTAATTGTATTCTATAAATATAAACACATTTTGATTGATGGCTGCAACACACTTCAAAAATGTTGGGACAGAGGCATGCTTAACAGACGTTTGCTTTTGCATCTGTCGCTGGTGAAAGTCTGGATGGTCCCTTTGGTCTTGGGGACTGAGAAACCAACGTCCATTTTTTTTTTTCCAGAAACAAGTTGAAATGTGGACTCATCTGACCACAGCACACATTTCCACTGTCTTTTTGAATATCTGAGATGAGCTTTGGTCCAGAGAACCCCACAGCATCACTGCATAGAATTGATTTAGTTTTCTCCTAGAGTAACAAAGATTCAAGTTGCATTTATTGATGCAGCGGCAGACTGTGTTAAGTGACAGCAGTTTTCCAAAGTACTCCTGAGCCCATGTGGTTACATTTCACACTGCAGCATGACGGTTTCTCATGCAATGCCATCTGAGGGCTCAAAGGTCACACATTCAGCTAAGGTTTCCTGCCTTGCCCTACACGGACTGAGATTTCTCTGGATTCCCTGAATCTTTTCACAATATTATGTGTGGTAGTTGGTGAAAGACCTAAATTCTTTGCAAATTTGCATTGAGAAATTAGATTTTTGTGATTTCTGAGAAAAGATCTCCTTTTACATCAAAACATGATACCCTCATATTACCAATTCACCTGCTTACTGTGAACTGTTTCAAAACAGTTTAATTTGGATATTCTAAAGCCGTTTTTACTTTTATTTAGCCTCTGTTCCAACTTTTTTGGAGTGTGTTGCAGCCATCAACATCAGTCTTTGGAAATCTTTTCTTTGTACTTTTGTCAATTAAATAAAAGTTAAAGAGAATAAAAAATAAAAAAAAATCACAGATTGTTGATTTTATTGCATTTTACAACACATGATCCTTCAGAAATCAGTCTGATTTAGTGCTCAAGAAACATTTCTTATTCTTATCAAATTTTAAAACAATTCTGTAGCTTAATATTTTTGCGGAAATCCATGATGCAGTATAATTCAAAAAGTTTAAGGTAAGATGGGGTAAGATAAAAAAAATAAACAAATTACATTCTAAAATACAGTATATATATAATTACTGTATTTTCAAATAAATGCAGCCTTGGTGAGCAAAAGAGCCTTTATTAAAATAAAATAAAATAAAATAATAAATAAATAATTATTATTCTAAACTTTTGACCAGTACCTTCATTTCAAGTGCCAATCTGACAGTCATTTGAAATCACAAACAAGATCTCCTTTTACATCAAAACATGATACCCTCATATTACCAATTCACCTGCTTACTGTGAACTGTTTCAAAACAGTTTAATTTGGATATTCTAAAGCCGTTTTTACTTTTATTTAGCCTCTGTTCCAACTTTTTTGGAGTGTGTTGCAGCCATCAACATCAGTCTTTGGAAATCTTTTCTTTGTACTTTTGTCAATTAAATAAAAGTTAAAGAGAATAAAAAATAAAAAAAAATCACAGATTGTTGATTTTATTGCATTTTACAAAACATCCCAACTTTTCTGGAATCGGGGTTGTAGTAGTCAGTAATGTATATCCCTAGTCAGAAAATCAGAATTTTAACGGAATTTAATAATAATTTAGAACCAGTCATGATTAGATAATGAAACAAATAGTCAAAATAAGAATGAAACAAAGAACATAAAGGATAAAATGTGGATAAATATATGAAAAATATAAAATTTAGTATATCCACCAAGAATGTGACTATTAGATAAGAATTTTATTCCCAGTAAGATTGGTTCAAAATTATGAAACATTAGCATTCATTGACTACATACTAAAAAAATGGTGCTAAATAGCACTAAAAGTAGTTAATTGGCTCGTAATCATATGGGAACCACTTTAAGTGCTATATAGCACCTATCTTTAAAGGAATCATAGAAGAACCATAAGAGGAACCCCATTCTCCTCCTTAGATTTTAGAGATGTTACTCCACTCTCATATGTTTGCTATGAATGGGAATTTACTACAATGGCAAAAGCTGTTTTGAATCACTTTTATGCTTTTCTGAGGTCAAAAAGTCTTGTGTGGGGGCCCTGGAATATTTCCTTATAGGGGGGCCTTGCGGGCAAAAAGGTTGAGAACCTAAGAGACTAAGAGAGAATTAGAGAACCTTTAAAGAACTATACAGGGGCTTAACGGTTCTTTGTATGGCAGTGGTGCTATATAGCACCTCAACTACCCCAAAGAACCGCTGAAGAACCAATTTTTTTTGTGTGTAGGGATATAGGGATATAATCCCACTTTGAATGGAAAGCAGCTATAGTAACAGACTCCCTTGTCCAGTCCTGACCTTGGGCAGAGCTCCAGGCCACACCCTGATGGATCCGTAATTGAGAAGTGCCTGTACGATCCTCTCGGGCTCATGGTCCGTCTTGTAGGCCACCACCTTCAGGATGTTATGCATCGGTGCATCACCGCCATAATCCATTTCGTTGACCAAGGCTTTATACTGAAGCAGTAGATCCACCACGTCAGGGTTGGTGTTCTTACATGCCATGTGCAGTGGAGTCTGCTTGTCCGCGTCACTGATATGAATGTCTGCCCCTGCATCCACCAGCATGTGACAAACACGACTGTAGCGCTCCAGAGACGTGCAGTCCTGCGGCTGGGAGCACGCGGCGTTCAGCGGTGTGTTTCCATCGTCATTTTGTAGGTTAAGCACAGCTCCGTGTCGTAAGTAGAGCTCCACGTGATCAGGAAGGCCATGGCGGGCCACCACATGAAGGGGTGTGTCGTTATCATCCAAGCTTTGACCGTTGATCAAAGCATCGAATGCGAGTAGATGTTTGGCACACCTGGAAAAACATAGAAAAAACTCCAAAAGTCTGGCTATAATGCAGTATGCATAAGTGATATTAATTTTGTAGGATATTATTTAGCATCAAAGTCTACATTACAAGTACACTACCAGTCAAAAGTTTGGAATATTTTTTTTTTTTTTAATGTTTTT